ACCTCGAGGCGGCCACAGTTCAATCCTTAAAAAACTGAAAGGTTTCATTCCTAGTCTTCATTCCAAATAATTTCCACAAATGAATAGTGCCTAGGGCACATTTAGGTCTACAGAAACTCACTGGGGGTGGGTGTTTGGCTAGGGGTAAGCATACCTGGGGTTCCAATCACATACCTGTGGTGGATTCCCAGGCCCCAGCGCCTGACTCCAGCTTCCTGTAAATAGAGACCCTGGGAAGCAGTAGTGATGGCTTAAATAATTGTATATCCTGCCACCCATGGGGAACCAGGATTGAGTTCTTGGCTCCTGACTTTAACTCTTGCTCAGCACCTTGTGGACATTTAGGGAGTCAACCAGCTGATGGAAGATTTCTCTTTTTCTATGTGCCTCTCAAAAAAATAAATAAATAAATAAAAATCTAATAAACCAAATGTTGCACATTGAACAAAATTTTGTGGATTTTTTTTTTCAGAGCTGTCTTCCAATATGTAGGGCAATTCAGAAACTACAACAATTTTGCCAGGTACTATCAGTATTAGCTTCCTAAGGCTGCTGTAAGAAATCAGCATATATTTGGTAGCTTAATGCAGCAGCAATGTATTATCTTACAGTTCTAGAGACCAGAAGTCTGAACTGAGTCTCACTGGATTGAAGTCAAGGTGCTGGTGAGGCTACACGCTCCCTAATGCCTTTTGCTGCTCCTCCTAAGGGTCACATATATTTCTTGGTTTGGGCCCTAACTTCCGACTTCAAAATGCACCACTCCAATCTCTGCTTCTAGCATGGCATTGTTTTCTCCTCCTCTATTGTAGAGTTTCCTTCCACCTTTCTCTTCCAAAGACCCACCAGGAACATCCAGGACAATCTTCCCAACACCAGACCCTTAATTCAATCACATGTGTGAATTTCCCTCTTCCATGTAAGACTGCCTTCACAGGTTCCAACTATTAGGGCCTGATCATCTTTGGAGACCATTCCTCAGATTTCAATATCATATATCCTACATCAAATCAAAGTTCAATTTATTTTCGGAAAGGAAAACCTTGCCCTTAACAGAGCATTAGTTGAGGGCTGGCATTATGGTATAATGGGATAAGCCACCACTTGCGACATGGGCATCCCATATCAGAGTGCCAGTTCATGACCCAGCTGCTCCACTTCCAATCCAGCATCTGACTAATGCCCCTGGGAAGGCAGTAGGAGATGGCCCAAGTGTTTGGGTACCTGCTGTGATGTCAGACCCAGATGAAGCTCTGTTTCTGGGTTCCTGGCTCTGGCCTGGTATAGCCCCTGCCATTGTAGCCATTTAGGGAGTGAATCAGTGGATGGAAGATCTCTTTCTCTGGCTCTCCCGATCTCCATTGCACTCTTTCAAATAAAGAAAATAAATCTTACAAAGTAAAATAAAACCAGAGCATTAGCTTGCTAGATATTTCCCCAAATTTCTTCTCAGTTTTCTTCTCATAGATTCTTCCATTTAACACCTTATCAAGGAGGAGTCTGATTTCAAGCACAGCGATGTCCAACTGAGACATGTAAACAGTAGGAAGGTGTTGCTATGGATTCGTTCTGAGAGGAGGAGTGTGGTGGGGGCAAGAGATATGGAGTCACCACACAGACCCCCGGAGTTGGGTGAAAGCAGGCCAGAGGTGAGCAGCCCGCAGACTCATTTATTTCAGTTGGTACAGCAGCTTAAATAGCCAAGGCAGCCAATCCAGTCAAGGGGTGGTTTATGCCCTAACCAATCACAACCTGTTGCCAGGCAGTATCTGAAACCATCCAATCACAGCTTGTTGCCAGGCAGGCTCTGTTGCCATGTGGTTTCCAAAGCCATCCAATCACAGCCTGTTACCAGGCAGGCTCCCTTGCCAGGTGGATTTCAAAGCCATTCCTGAGTAACTGACACTCACTTGCCAGCGGCCATCTTGGCATGACCTTCTCACCTTCTCATTGCACTACATTTCCCCCTTTTCAGTTTATTTTTGAGCAACGGGAGGCATGATTCTTGGCCATGCCATTGTTGACCCCGTTTCCATGTGGTCTCCATACGCAGCTGTGCCTGTCTTAGGTTGTCCCCCAGGGGATCTTACCCGTCGTTGACTAACCAGCGCTCAAAATGGGAGACCACAGGAGTGCTTGCTCAGAAGGGGTAGGAATGAGGAACAGTGGTAATCAGGAATGGCATGACCACATGCAGGCTGTGTGCCATTTGAGTGGCTGACCAGAGCTAGTGGGGTACAAAGCAGTAATGGATGTGGCTATGGGCAGTTCCTCAGGGTAGGATGACTGGGGAGGTGCGTCCCCTAACAAGGCGGGCTCTCAGTCTTGTTCAGCTGGTTCTGGTTGACTGTCAGTTGCAGGCTTGATGTTTCTGGCTGGGACCCAAATGGGCTGTCCCACATTCTCTGGAAAGACACAAGCATATCCTAGGCCCTTGGTTAGCAGAAGACTTTCTACAGGTGTTGGAATCCAGGGTCTGAATTCTCCATCTGCTCCTAAATTAACAGCAAACATGCAGGTGGGATGGGGTCTAGTGGCTGCCCTGAGAGCCTGGGGTGCCTGAGGACTGCCGCAAACATGCGGATTCTCACTGAGTGCGGATGGGATGACCTCATGTGGGTTATTACCTCGAGGTCATCTGTGTTCATCCTACAGGTATTTGGGGGGTGGCTGACCAGGCATTGCTGCGTTGTCTGCAATTTCACTGTCATTTCACTGTTGCAGCTCTCTCTCCCCAAATCATCAACTGTTGCCTGTGAGGCAGAGGCCTGGAGTGATAGGCTCTGATCACTCACAGATTTCTGATCCACTCAAGCATTTAGGCTGTCTTCCACTGCTTTCCCAGGCTATCAGCAGAGAGCTGTATCAGAAGAGGAACAGCTGGGACATGAATGGGCACCCATATGGAATGCTGGCACAGCAGGCAGAGGCTTAGCCCAATACACCACAGTGCGGGCCCCTGCATGAAGTTTTTGAAGTGCCCTCATATGTTTGCTACTTAGGAGAAAATGTGTTTTTATCTTAAAACTCAAGTGCTCTTTTTTTCCTTATCAACTGAGAGATGATGGTATATGATGCATTGTCTTTTTTTAAGATTTATTTATTTACTTGAAGGGCAGAGTCAGACAGAGAGGCAGAGAGAGAGGGGGGTCTTCCATCCACTGGTTCATTCCCCAAATGGCTGCAAAGGCCGGAGCTGGGGCAGTCGGAAGCCAGGACCCAGGAGCTTCATCCAGGTCTCCCACGTGGGTGGCAGGGGTCCAAGCACTTGGGGCATCTTTTGCTGCTTTCCCAGGCATGTTAACAGGGAAATCAATTGGAAGTGGAGCAGCCAGGACTCAAACTGGTACCCATGTGGGATGCTGGCACTGCAGGAGGTGCTGCTACACCACAGCACAGACCATGCTACACTTTGAAATAAGAGAAACAAGAACTCCAGTATGCCTTGGATTTTACTTTTAAATAACTAGTTTTTAAATATGTATTACAACAGATCTACAGAAAGCAAAAGAACTGATTTCTCAACCACAGTTCACTGGATGAGCTTTCCCTTTTCCAGCCTAGGCAGCAGGGAGTGAAGATGAGCCTGCCTGTTTCATCCAGTGACGTGGCTCAATAGGCTAATCCTCTGCCTTGCGGCACTGACACACCAGGTTCTAGTCCAAGTCGGGGCACTGGATTCTGTCCCAGTTGCCCCTCTTCCAGGCCAGCTCTCTGCTGTGGCCCGAGAGTGCAGTGGAGGATGGCCCAAGTGTTTGGGCCCTGCATCCCATGGGAAACCAGAAGCAGCTGGCTCCTGGCTTTCAGATCAGCAGTGGTGCACTGGACACAGCGCGCCAGTTGCGCCGGCCATTGAAGGGTGAACCAACAGCAAAGGGAAGACCTTTCTCTCTGTCTCTCTCTCTCTCTCTCACTGTCTAACTCTGCCTGTCGAAAAAAAAAAAAAAAAAAAAAGAGAGAACCTGCCTGTTTCTCTGGAGAAAGTGAAGGCTCTGAAGCTAGCTTCCCGTACCCCTTCCAACTCAGAAAACCAAGGATAAAACAGCTTCGTCTGCTTGCAATGGTCTAACAAAATGCCTGAGGGTAGGTGATTCACAAAAAATAGAAATTCACTCCTCCCAGTGCTGGAGCATGGGGAGCACCTGTGAGGGCAGCACAGGTTTGGTGTGTCCAGTGAGGGCTGCCGCGGGCTTGCAGGATGATGCCTCACTGCTGTGCCCTCAGCGGAGGGAAAGGCAGCACCCACTCCCTCCACCCCGGCAGTCCATCATCTGTGAGGGCCTCACTGTCAGGACTTAACCACACCCTAAGGGCCCACCTCTTCACACTACAACATCGGCAATTAACTTCCAACATGGGAACCATGAGGGGAACTTGTGTGTAGGGGGTGTGCACATTCAGGACAGAGCAGGGGCCTTTGGTTTTCTGCCAGGAACAAGGGACCAATAAGACAGAAAGAAGATGAATTATCATGAAAAATAGTCATTTTCCTTTAGATGCTTCAAAAAGAACTAACTTGGTATCACTCATTGTTCTACACACTTGAGGATCAGAGGTAATCAGGAAAAATGTCCTGGAATTGAAAGAAGAAATCTGCAAAGTTGCATTGAATAAAAAATAAGGGAACAATAGTGACACATTTCACAACAGAAATATTTACTGTTCTATAGAATGTAATCATTCCCTGATCGACTCATGCCCTTCTTGTGCTTCCAATTTAATCACAATATGCTTTTGAACTCCTTCCCCATGTGTTCTGGATTCTTATCCCACCTGTCTTTCAAGTTTTATCTTTAAAATTCATATTCACTCATTCTTATGCTTCCCCCCCGAATTTGGGATAATTACTCAAGCTTGTGGAATCAGCCAGCTGACTACCAAACATTGTGATAACAAACAATCCTGACATTTCAGTGCTTCTAATAAGAAAGGATTCTATTTCCCTTGTGCTATGTGGGCATCAGCTGCCCTCAGGTTACTTGTAGATAGGCCCTGGGCTGAATGAGCAGCCCCATATGGTTTTCCATGGCTGTCTTCAGAGAGAAGCAAAGAGAAGAGAGTGGGGCCCAACAGGTGGTCAAAGTCCCGGTTCAGCATCATACTCATTAAGTCCACTCACTCACTTTTTGCTGACCAAAGTACATCAAGTGCCTGTCTGTGACAGAGAGGCATTCGTCAGACAGGCAAAGTATTATCAAGTTACATAAGTAATCTGCAGAGGGCCTGTGGGGAGAGGAATGAGGATATTTGGCATAGGAGTAACAAAACATTAGGCTAGATATGTAGTTCTATCCTTTGTGTTTTGTTTCTTGTTTGGTTTGGTTATGTAATACCCACTACTTCTGCTGAAATTTTAATTTAGTTTAGTGATCACTGTTTTATCGGTGGGATTTTTGTTGTTGTTCTCAAATATTTTTAATCTTTAAAATTTACTAATGTATTTTTTTCAATTTCTGTTTTCTTGAGTTCACTTTTCTCATTGTTTATACTGTTCGCTGGACAAATGAATTGTCAAAGATCTTGTGGTACTAAGAGACACACGTGAGAACATTTATGTCATGGTTTAATGGATTTGCTCTGTAGTCCATGTTCATGTGTGTGAGGTAGGGTAGAATCCTTCCCCTAAACTCCTAGAGGGCTTTCCTTCCTACTCACCAACCCTTCCCTACTGTCACATGCTCCCTTGATCACTGAATTTCTTACATATTTTGTGCTTTATTGACTGTGTGCATTTATCCCTATTACAAGAGTAGGGTCTTTTCAGTAGGACATTGGAAGAAGGATAAAAACACGAGCTTTGTTTGGTCTCATGATCATTTTAGAGAGTTAATGAAATGGGTATGTAATCCAAGAAGCTAAGACATAATTCTTAAACCAAATCAAACTGAGAAAAACATCCTAACTGATATATAGAGTACTTTTTCTTTTACAAAGCCAATAAAATGTGTAAAATCAAGCAAGTTTGATACAGGAAAAATGAAAATACACTCTTCTGGAACAATAAACATATTTTCAGATAGAGGGGATATTTTTAATTTAATATTTAAAATATTTAATAACATTTCAAAAGACTGAAAGCATTTCAACTTGTTTTACTAGATGAGCCCAACCCCTGAAAATAAAATTTGACAAAGAGAACTCTCAGAAATAATCTATGTACCGATCTTTCCACTAAAAATAAAGGATACATGAAATGATTAAAATCAGAGGCTTAGAAATTAATTGGAACTACATTAAAATTCTTGCTCTATTGCAAAGAAATATTTTATGACTCGGACACTTAACTGTTCTAAATCATTTTCCTGAAGTAAAATAATGACACATACCTTAAGAATAATGTTAAAGGTAAAAATTATGTAAGTACATTTTAAGATATTTTATGCATTCAGCTTATGTCTGATCATGCTTATTCATGCATGAGGAGGAGGAGAAAGAAGAGGAGGAGTAAAATGTTGAAATGGCTGTAAATTGTAACATCATAAACCAAGTCTGATAAAATTGAATCCTGTGGCATAATATAAAACAGAGTCAAAAAATAATAAAGACTTTATCTGGAAATTCAACAATAATTTAATAGAAATATACATTATTTAACTCATCACATAAGAGGAAGAAAAATGCATGAATCTCTTAGTAGATTCTGGGAAAGTAAAAGGTAAATGTCATTGAAGAAAATCAGAATCCATAGAAAATATTGTTCATATTTTGAAGCATGCTAATAAATCAAGAAGGAAAAAGGAACCCTAACATCACCAGAATGTTTTTTTGTCCTAGAACCTCTAGCTAATGCCTCAAAGGGGAAAAATGTATAATTAGAAGCTAAAATGACCCAAATTATCATGATTTGCAAGTATGAATGCTTACTAGGAATTAATCGAGATGTCTATCAACTGATGACTGGATAAAGAAACTGTTGTACATATACACTAGGAAATACTACTCAGCCATAAAAAGGATGATATCCTGCCTTTTGTAACAAAGTGGATGCAACTGGAAACCATTATACTTAGTGAAATAAGCCAGTCCCAAAAGGACAAATATCATATTTTACCAGATCTGTGTACATTTGTGTACCAAAAATGTAATGTGTAGCAGTGAAACTGACATTTTAAGATTCGATAATTGTTTACATCCCTTGTCTCTACTGTTGAGGAACAGTGTTTGTGTAATTCGTATTTTTGTTGAACTATTCACTTATCGAAAATATATCATTATAAAAATTAAGAGAGGAAATAAGAAAAGAAGGAGGAAGAAGGGTAGGAGCATGCTTGGAAAGTACCACTGTGTTCCTAAATCTGTATCCATGAAATACATGAAATGTGTTTACCTTAACATTTTTTTAATTTAAAAAAGAAATAAAAATTAAAAATAGCATGTTAAAATGTATGACAACAATTAAGGATCATTTTAGGTTACAAAAGTAATCTTTACAAAAGAAAAAGCTTTTATATCAATACAAACTGGTGCTATTAAGAATAAAGTTATTTTGATATTATGCAACAAATAGCATGGCCTAATATAAATTTAACAAGACTTACCTGAAAGAAATGACACATGTCTAACGAATGTAATATTAGGACCTCACATGTTCCTGGAAGGAAAGACACAATTGCAAAAATGTCATTTTCTCCTACATTAATCTATAAATTCATCAACAACATTAAAATGGGGATATTGATTTGTACTGGAATCACATTTATTTGTATGAAAATAGAAGAAATGTTCACAAAGAGTAATGAAAGAGCACATATTTCAGGCCACATTAAAAGCCTCAATGATTTAACCCAAGTAATCAGGGTGCACACACTGAAAATGGGGCAAAGAACATGAGCTCAGATTTCTAAAGCAGACAAAATGAAACGTAGTCTACGATACAGGCAAATCTCATATGTATAAACAATGTATTATTTATTATAATTGGTGACAGGAAAACTGGCTAAATTTGGACAAAATGAAACTGGATTCTGATTAACCATTCAACACAATGGGGTGGAGGCGGGGCCACAGAGAGGCTCTGATGGTGCCTTTCATCTGGACGCTGTATTTTTGTGTTCCTGAATGATATCTTCACTGTAGTGAAGGGACCGAAGGAGCTAGGGAATTACGGAGTGCTTCTGCACGATGCTGCCCTGCTGATCGCCCTCATTTTCAGCATGTCTCCACTGCAGACCTAGATTCATCCAATGGAAGAATGTTCCATTTATCACACAGTTTCTTCCTTCCCTGTTTTGGGGGGTTTGTACTGATGCACCCCACAGTTGTGTGCAGCTATTACAGTTTGGCCCTGATGATGAGTGCCAGTCAGTGCTGTCATATACCTATTGCCTGCACTGGGATGTGAGCTGGTGGAGATGATACCTTCTCCGTGGTAAACTATCTCAGGGCAGGGCACCTGAGATACTCCTTTTTAACACTAAAGAGTCAGTCAGAACCTCAATAACTGTTGAATGAAGAAACTGCCCCTCCAGATTTGAAGAGCTAGGGGTTTGGCATTCCCAGGAGGATCGAGAAGCCAGAGCACAAGTGGGAGCTTCTGTGAAGCACAGAGGACTCCCCATCTGCCATCCTCATGGCCTGTGCTGAGAAGGAGGCTGGCACTGTGATCTGCCTGTTTGAGTAGCAGCACCACGGCCTTAATTTCAAAGGTGCTGTCCCCAGCAAAGTGCCAACGAGAACTTTTTTTTTTCAGTGTAAACAGACACACCTTTATTTCAATAAAATTACTCAATTAAATGCCCCCCAAAATTAGGTTCTGATCTCTAGCTTCCATCTAAATGATTCCAGAGAAATTCAAGATTCAAATAATGGAAATACAATTTTAAGATAACTTGAAAAACTGTAATCTAGGGATAAGAACATTCTGAGCTTGGCATGTAAAGGACAGGTAAGAGTCACATGAAAAACTCGTGAAATTAAAATACATATGAAAAATAATCTAATACATAGCAATAACTAATATGTGCTATTAAATTGCTTATATATAATTATTAATGCAATATTAATAGTATACACAGCAAACCAAACAGAATCTCAGTTAAAAAAGAAGAAAAAAATATAGGAAATCCCCTAGGAGACCAATGTCAATGGCTTATAAACAAAACATATCAAAGTTATCAGCAAATTAAGAAATACAATTTAGAAAAAATAGCAATATAAATAGTTAAATGTTGTTAAACATTGTACCTTTTGATCCAAAAAAAAGCAAAGCTAAAAATAACAATAATCAATGTCATCAATGTCATTCAGAATCGGTTACTCCTAGCGGGAGGCAAAGCTAGCATAACCTTTTTAGGAGTGATCTGATAATGAGTAGATTTAAAACAGAAAGTTCTAAGACTGCCTATCCTTTATTTTTATTATTTTTGTTTGTTTTGACAGGCAGTTAGAGAGAGAGAGAGAAATGTCTTCCTTCCGTTGGTTCACCCCCCAAATGGCTGCTACGGCCGGCACACTGCACCAATCCAAAGCCAGAAGCCCATGTGGGTGCAGGGCGCAAGGACTTGGGCCATCCTCCACTGCACTCCCGGGCCACAGCAGAGAGCTGGACTGGAAGAGGAGCAACCGAGACAGAATCCAGCACCCCGACTGGGACTAGAACACGGGGTATCAGCACCACAGGCAGAGGATTAGCCTAGTGAGCTGCGGCGCCGGCCTATTTTTATTCTTTAAAGATTATTTTTTTAAAAAATTATTTGAAAGGCAGAGAGAGAGAGAGAGAGAGAGAGAGAGAGAGAGAGAGAGATCTTGTATCCACTGGTTCACTCCTCAAATGGCCACAGAAGCGAAGTGTGTGCCAGGCTATATCAGGAGACAGGAACTCTATGCAGATCTCTCACATGGCTGGTGGGGGGCCCAAACACCTAGGCCATCTTTGCCTTCTTCTGATGCCTCCCTTGGCACATTAGCAGGAAGCTGGATGAGGCAGAGTAGCCAGGACTCAATCCAGCATTCCAGTGTGTGATGCCAGTAGTGGCTTACCGCACTGTGTCACAACACCAGCCCCTTGACTATCCTTTAACTCTGCAAGTTCATTTCTAAAATTTATACTGACGGTATAATTGAACAAATTTATGAAGATATATTTTCAAGACTCACTGTAAAATTTAGCAAATAACAAAATAATATATCTAAACTAATTAATAAATACCTGACTACATCAAACACTATGATACCATGGAATGCTAGCTTGCATTAAAAATAATGATGCAGAGCTCATTTTGTAGAAAAATGCACTGGATTTTTTAAAAAAATTGGGTGCTCTTTCAGTAAGCATGTATATATTAATTTTAGAATCATAATAGTGGAATTTAGCTATGTACTTTTTCCTAATTTTGGTAAAAACACATGAAAACAGAGTGTAAATTTCTGAAATCATTATGAGGGTAAAATAGTGTATATTTATTAAAAGCCTTAAAGCTGCCCAAACTTAAAAGGGTAATTATACTTGTAAGAAATTATCTTAAAGGAACTCTGCTCCGTGTGAGAACAGAGCTGTTTCTGTAAAGCCCCCTCCTTTACAGGGGACAGCTTGTCCTTCATGTCACCACCAGCCTCTAAAGGACAGGGACCTAGGGATCAAACGTGTTCTAGGCTGCCCTACATGGTATTGTTAATATAAAGGATGGGTCATTTGGAGGCTGAGCAGCTAGGGACACAAGAGTCCCTAATACAAGGATCCGTGGGTGCTCTGGGTCCCCTCATCTACTGCATGTCCTCTCCACAGAGAAATGCAAAGGGCATATGGCCCCTGGCTGACTTCACAGGGTTGTCTGGTGCTGGGGATACCAAACACCTGGTTAACTCATGCTGTATTGTACCCAGCTTGGGGACAAGAGCAATCACCTCACAAGAATGAACATATATATACCTTATATAAGTATATATACAGGCTTATACATATGTGTGTGTATGTATGTGTACATATCTTTTACTCAAATCAGAAATACTATGATCTAATTACCAAGTGTTTGCAGCCTTCCTTTTCCGGTTCCACAGAGAGAGTTGGAGGGTCCTCTGTGGAAAGTGAAGCTGCTAATGAAGGCAGGAGACAGGGTGGGGAGCAAGCATGGGATGCATGATTGGGACACTGACCTGTGTCATAACCAGTATTATTTCATCTTCACAAGAAACCTTCCATAGATAGTAGATGCTGTGTTTCCACTTGAGTCTTAAAGGTGTCAGGACCTCTGGCCAGTCACACACTCTGTAAGGAATCCTAGATCCAGTATTTCAAACTCAGCCTGTTCAAACTCTTCATCCATTCCCCACACTAAAAACACATAAAGGTCAAAAATGGGTTACTGCTATTGTAATCCATGAAGAAAATTTTTTAAATTATTAAATCTCATTTAATAATTTTATTATTAAATTATTAAAATGTTAGAAGTCATTAGTTTAGTAATTATTAAAATATTAGTTTAGTAATTATTAAAAATAATAGATTAGAAGATAATTGTACAGGAAATGTCACAACTTATAAAGCAGAAATAAAAATGAGGTCAGTTCAGGGGAGGGCATTGTGGCACAGCAGGTTCAGCCACCACTTGAGAGATCAGCAACTGATTATTAGAGTGCTTATTAGAGTCCTGGCTACCCACTTCTGATCCATCCCCCTGCAAACACACCTTGGAAGCAGCAGATGATGGTTCAAATTCCTGCTGCTAATACGGGAGACCAGGATAGGTTACTGGTTTCTGGCTTAAGCCTGGCCCATGCCCAGAAGTTGCAAGCACTTAAGGAGTGAACCAGTGCTTTACTTATTTCTCTCTCAATTTCTGCCTTTCAAATAAATAAATAGTTGTTCAAAATAGTTCTGGTACACATGCAATGGAAAAATACTGGAAATGTATTATAAAAGTTAACAGTGGGCCGGCACTGTAGCTCACTAGGCTAATCCTCCAGCTGTGGCACCAGTTCTCCATGTTCTTGTCCCCGTTGGGGTGCCGGATTCTGTCCCAGTTGTTCCTCTTCCAGTCCAGCTCTCTGCTATGGCCCGGGAGTGCAGTGGAGGATGGCCCAAGTGCTTGCGCCCTGCACCCGCATGGGAGACCAGGAGGAAGCACCTGACTCCTGGCTTCGTATCAGCACAGCACGCCAGCTGTGGTGGCCATTTGGGAAGTGAACCAATGGAAGGAAGACTGTTCTCTGTCTCTCTCTCTCTCACTGTCTAACTCTGCCTGTCAAAAAAAAAGAAAGAAAAAAAGTTAACGGTGGTGGAATTATAAGTAAATTTTTTCTTTGTATTTTTATTTTTTAAAGGTAGATGGAGGCTAAGCCTTTATTTTTTTATATATTTAATTTTTATTTGAAAGGTAGAGAGACAGACGGAGAGAACTTTCATCACTGGTTCAGTCCTCATAAGCATGCAACAGCAGGGGCCGGGTCAAGCTAAAGCTAGGAGCCTAGAACTCAATTCAGGACTCCCACATGGGTAGCAGGGACCCAAGCACTTCAGCCATCACCAATTCCTCCCATTAATGCCTACTGTACACTAGTGGGAAGACAGAATCAGAAGCAGAATGGGCACTCCACCCAGGCCTTCGTATAGGGGATGAGGGCTCTGGAACAGCGAGCGTCTCAAGTGCCACATCAAATGCCCATCCTTTTTGTGTTTTTAAATTTCCACAATACCTATTAATATTTGTGCAACTGGGAAACAATAATAAAAGAAGCTCCCACGTGTGCTTCTGTGTGAGCTACCATAAAGACGTCAGCACAAGGCCAGGGAGAGAATTAGAACTCTTCCTTTGGGGTGCGTCTTTTAATGTGTTAGATCTGGAGAGGAACAGTGGAATTACTGAAAGTGACATCTTCAAGGGACCTCACCGATCACTGCACTCAGCCTTGGCATTTTGCAGATGGGGACAGGGAGAGCAGAGGAATCCGAGAAGACAGTGAGCATCCTTGACCCAGGCACTCATCGCCTTCTTAACAGGATGGAGCATGGACATCCATTCCACCAAAAGTTTCCTGTCACTCGGCCCTGAATAAAAGTCAATGTCTTATAAACAGCAGCTCTTTAGCCTCTGCCCTGACCACAGAATTGAACGAGCTTAGAAAACAAGGCGGGTTTTGCAGCATTCACTTTCCCTTTGCAAACCACTGGGATGAAAAACCAAAGTCCCAGCCCTCATCCCCTCCATCGAGGCTGTCTTGTTCTTGCTTCCCTCAGCTGAGGACAAGGCTTCTCAGAAGGCATTTTCTCTGTCATGTGTGTTCTGATTATGAAAACATGACATCATAAGTGTATGAAATGTGGAAAATAACATAGAAAATCCCAACCATGTGTTATGCTGCTGCTCCATGACAAGGATGGCTAACACTTTACAGGCAGATCCAGACTTCTCCCTTTTATGCCAGACACACCCAGGTAAGATTCTGCAGGCACAGAATTTCGATTATTTTAAGATTTATTTATTTGAAAGGCAGAATTAGAGGTGGAGGGGGGGACAAAAAGAGATCTTCCATCTGTTGGTTCACTCCCCAAATGGCTGCAACAGCAGAGGCTGGGCCAGGCTGACACAGGAGCCTGGAACTCCATCTGGGTCTCCCATGTGGGTGGCAGGAGCCCCAGTGCTTTGGCCACCCAACACTGCTTTTCCAGGCACATTAGCAGGGAGCTGGATCAGAAGAACAGCCAAATTTGAACCAGTGCTCATATAGGATGCCACAGGTAGCAGTTGAACCCAATACAGCTCAGGCTTCTAATGTTATTCAAAACATCCATGGCCAACCTTCTTGGGAATGGGAATACCCAGTGCCCTGAAGGTGCTCAGCTCTTGGCCAATGAATTGTTAGCAGATGCCCTGCAAACAACAGCTTGAGATGTGCTGGCCTGGGTGGGGTCCCCCTCTCCCACGTGTGCTATTTCCCTAAGAAAACCTTCCCTCCAGTGGCTGCCTCCTGGGCCACAGTGGAATACACCTGAGGTGCCCCAGGTCACATACACACCTGAGGTAAGAGGCAGGTTCATTCACTCCAGCAGACTGGTATCTGGGAGAGAATAAATGGTGCTGCTCTAAGCCAATCTGGGTTGATAAACAGCAATCTCACCTGTGCACCCCCACCATGTCAAGAGGTTTTCCTCTCTTAGAAGCCCCTTGACTTGCTTTGGGTGGTCGGTGCAAGGCTCAGCAGGTGTTGCTCTTCCTGCTACCAGGGAGGTGGAACAGGGATAAAGATCTGCATCCAGTAGTCAGTCCCTCTGTCTGTGTTCCCCAGGGCCCGTGGCAGTCCAAGGAAAGTTGAATTCTTTCTGGCATTTTTTTTTTTTTTGGACAGGCAGAGTGGACAGTGAAAGAGAGAGACAGAGAGAAAGTTCTTCCTTTTTACGTTGGTTCATCCTCCAATGGCTGCTGTGGCTGGCGCACCACGCTGATCCCAGAAAGCTGTACCTCCCAGCAAGCCTGCCCTTCTGTGACCCTTTCCTCTGAAAACTAATGGGTTCATCTGACTCTGTCATAAGTGACAGAATGCTAGCTTAAAATCCAGGCTTTTTGAATGCTTGGGATATGCCCTTTTTTTTTTTTAAAGATTTATTTATTTGAAAGAGTTACCCAGAGAGAGAAGGAAAGGCAGAGAGAGAGAGAGAGAGAGAGAGAGGGAGAGAGAGAGAGGTCTTCCATCTGTTGGTTCACTCCCTAATTGGCCACAACCGCCAGAGCTATGCCAATCCGAAGCCAGAAGCCAGAAGCCAGGAGCATCTTCCAGGTCTCTCACATGGGTGCAGGGGCCCAGGCACTTGGGCCATCTTCTACTGCTTTCTCAGACCATAGCAGAGAGCTGGATTGGAAGTGGAGCGGCCGGGACTTGAACTGGCATCCATATGGGCCCAGGACACACCCTCTTAAAACAGAGCTTAGGGCCCAGGTTTGTGGCTCATGGGTTCAGCCTGCAACACCAGAATCTCATGTCAAACTGCTGTTTTGAGTCCCAGTTGCTCCACTTCCAATCCAGTTCACTCCGTTGTACCTGGAAAAGCAGTGGTATATAGCTCAAGTGCTTAGGCCCATATGGGAGACACAGATGGAGTTCTGGGCTCCTGGCTTTAGCATGGACTAGCCCCAACCTGTTGTAGACATTTGGGGAATGAACCAGTGAATGAGTGAATGATCTCTCTCTCTCTCTGTCACTCTGTCTGTAAAATAAATAAATCTTAACCCAAAATAATCAGCTTCCATGATTACAGATGCCACCTGAAGGCACTCAGGTTAATAGCTTAACTGAGCTCCCAGAAAACCACCCATATCAACTCCCTGCCCTGTGAGAGCACCAGTCTGCACGTCCAACCCAGCTGAGTTTTCTTAGTCCATCAGTGGATGGCAACATGATGGACTCCAGGCACTGACCACTGAGTGAGCCCAGGCACCCCACATACTGTGAATGCTCATAATAAATGTGTGTTTTAAGCTGCTGCGTTTCAGAGCGGCTTGGTACATATCATTAGATAACTGGAGCAGGCCTTCCTGGAGGCTGTAACAAGTGGCCAACTTCAACATCCTAATTTTCTCCAAGACCCCTAATGCTACAGCTTGAAAAATAAGTGGTCTGAATATCAAAAACCAACAGGGGGCAATTGAGCAGTTAACGCACTGCAGCATAACCAGTAGTGTTAATCCTGCTGCTGGCAGTGGAGGCTTTCCTCTCATTACCCCTCTCCACACATAAGCTCAGTCAATGCCACATCAGTGTCCAGCACTGTCAACCTCTGCTCCCTGGAACCAGCTTCTGCATGTGGTTTCGTTCAGTTGGAAGGCAAAGAAACCTGTCTCACAAGGGTTGAAGTCATACAGAAAAATCCACTGATTCATGTAACTTACAAGAGCAGAATTAGGTATTTCTGGCTGCAGGAAGAACTTGATACTGGACATGCAAGACAGCACCTTTGGTTCCTCTCCATCTGTGCACACCTCAGTGCCACATGGTGGCCTCCCACTACCTTCAGACTTCCACTTAGGTCTTCAGCAGTTACAAGTTTCACAAAGCAGAACATGTGTCCCTTGTTTTAAATCTGAACCACAGCACTTCACCTCTGTGACCTTGGGCAAGTACTTAACTTCTCTGGTTCAAATTTTTTTCTTTAAAATGAGAACAGTAATGACCTCTACCCTACAGGGTTGTTTTCCTAAGTGAGGCAATATATATAAAGAACATGTGTACATATATATTTATTTATATATAGCATAGTTCTACAAGAGTCACTGTTGTTTTTTGTAATCACAGTAATGGTAGTACCAGCAACAGATGCAATAGTGGATTTAACAATAGCAATGTTCTCTACTACTATTCAAGCACAACAAAGAGAGTCCATGCCCCAGCTTTCTCTGGGATTCCTGAGCTCCCTACACAGTCCATGAACACAGAACAGGGCCCTGAGGTAGGGAGTACTGATTGGCTCCAGGTGTTCGGAGCCCACAGCTGAAGCTGGTGTAGGGTGATTCCTGCAAGGCTGGGAAATGAGGGGCTCTCTCTCCGAAAGGGGATGGACTCCAAGAAGGCAACTGAGATTCCCTAAGAAGTGAAATTCTCAGTGCTCAGAAGTCCCCGGTGTCCTGCTGTGTTGAGCTGGGGACACCTCCCCAGCTGTCTCTGAACTCCACTCAGGTGAAAAAGCTACAAAGGTCTGACTAGGAAAAAGAGATTTTCTCATGACGAGTATGTGTGACAGCTGTCAAAGTTCCAGGTTGAGTCTGTCAGTCCTCTCAGAGTTGAGCGATCCTGGGAGGGAGTTTACCCCAACCTTGAAGCTAGCAGGATCCAATCCTTGAACTCCAGCTATATTTAAGTGGCTGAACCTAGCACAATCTAGCACATGGCATTTCAGAACCAATCAGTACTGGCTCAAGAATGTGGGTGGAAGAACTGAAAGGGAGAGGAAGAACCCCTATTAATTGTAAAATTTGATTTATTTATTTGAGAGAGAATCAGAGAGTGAGGGAGGGAGAGAAAGAAAGTTTCCATTGGCTAGTTCACTCCCCAAAGGCCCACAAAAGCCAGGGCTGAGCCAGACTGGAGCCAGAACTCAGAAGCCTGGGACTCAGCCCAGATCTCCCACAAAGGTGCAGGGAACCAACTAGTTGAGCCATCATCTGCTGTCTCTCCACCCACCTCAACCCACAAGGTCTGCAGTGAGCTGGAACTGCTTGTTAAGAGTCAGAAATCAAACCCAAGTACTTTGACATGGGATGCAGGCATCTTTACTGGTATCTTAACCAGAGTCTTAACTGCTAAAGCCAAATACCCACCTCTCCCCCTGCCCCCATTATTTTCGTGGCTATGAAGTTATTATACAAATCTACTGAGAGTCTTGTTACCATATAAGAGATCCTGCCTAAGAATGGAAAAGCAAACAAGAAAGAAAATGGAGTGAGAAAGTAGACATGGAGAGAAACTAAGTGCTGAAGACCTCACTTAATCCTGTATATCTAGCTTTTTTTTTTTTTTTTTGAGTATTCAGCTTTAGGTGTCAAAATTTGCTTTTGCTTAAGTTGTCTTGCATTCAGATTATATACTTTTTAAAGATTTATGTATTTGAAAAGTGGAGTGACAGAGAGGGAGAGACATACAGAGAAAGACATCATCCACCTGTTGGGTTCATTCCCCAAATGGTCCCAATAGCCAGGGCTGGGCCAGGCCAAAGTCACGAGCCAGGAACTCCCATGTGGGTGGCCTGGCCCCAAGTCCCAGAGCAGCTGGGACTCAAACTGGGGCTCCTACATGGGATGCTGGTGTTGCAGACAGTGGTTTAATCCATTGTGCCACAACATTGGCCCAGGATTATATTTTTCTTAGCAAAAAGAGTTCTAATTTATTGTGATTTGTCAACAATATTTTGAAAGATTTTCTTGAAGTTTTCAAGAATTAAGATTCCCAAATGTGTCAGTCATTTGCCTACTGTTTCTCAGCCCTGGAACCACTCCCCACCCACCTCCCTGTGCTGTGTGATTCTAGAACAGGTAGTTCAAAAACTACATTGCCCAGAATCCCTTGTCACTCCTTCCTGTTAGTTTTGGGCCAACACTGAGTCATGGGAAGGACACTAGAAATAGGTAAAGGAAAGAAAGGACTCTTCCTGCTTCCAGTTCTGGCACCTGGAGCAAAGCTGTGGCTGTTACTCCAGCATCTTTTAGCACTCTCAGCTCACCATCAGAGGCGCCATCAGCAGCGGCAGGTTCCCCCTTAGTGGCCGAAGCACTGACATGGGGATGCCCCGGCAGCAGGCAACCCCCTGCACAGCTCAAGTGGTGATGCTGCGGGTAACAGCAAAGTCCTCGCGACTTCTCCTTCAGATCTCTGTGCCTAGACTCATGAGATAAATCAATGCTTTTTCATTAAACCACTGGGGGGAGGACAGGCATGTTCTACAGCACTATTGTGGTAATAATTCCTTGTTAACAACCTACTACACCAAAACCATTCCTGTCCACAGGGTCCCAGTGGGAACTGGACAGCTTAATGATCTCCAATGAGGTCATGAATGCTGACACATACATGGTTCACCTGAAACCAACCAGGCAGTTATGCCTGGGTGACCAGTCCCCAACCTGCAAATTCTCTGGGGTACTTCCCCAAGGAGACACATGGTTGTCTTCAAAGATACACTTATCTTGATATCACTATTACTCCATCCCCACCCCAGCTAACTAGAAATACTTTGGCTTGACCTATTTTGCCATATGTAGAACAAGAATAGTACCATATGTAGCTATTGTTACTATGTTAATTCCAGTCTTACCTACTGTTCTACTTATTTACTGCTACACAACAACCCCCTCAAAGTTCAGTGGCACAGAACATCATTTTATTATTCTCTCAGATTCAGTGGGTAAGAAATCTGGGTTGGGCAGATCAAGGATGGTTCATACCCACTCCACAAGGTTTAGGTGCCCAGCCAGTAAGACTTGAATGCATGGACTTGTTACAAATGGCTTGGCTAGATTTATCTCAAAGGTGTAGAAGGTGGGCTCAGGGTACCTAAATGTGACCTCTCCATTACAACACCGTAAGGTAGTCAGACTTAGCACACAGAGGCTCAGGGTTCCAGGGGTGAGAATTCCAGAAAACCAGGCAGAAGCTGCTTGGCTCCCTTGATCTAGCCTCAGAAGTCACACAGCATCCCTTGTGCCCTGCTCTCTTGGTGAAGTAGTCACAAACCCATCCACATTCAACAGGATGGGACATAGTGTTGGAAAACTGTCAAAGAATATGCAGCCCTATTGTGAAACCCAACATCCACAACATCCAGTACTCACTCGGAAAACGGTGTACAACTGAAGTTCTTCCTCCTTTCTTAAAAGGCATGTGTCTCCTGTATCATCAATACCGCAAAACTCCTGCACTAGCTGTGGCCCCAGGAGTCATGAGCATAACCTACGGAAGACAAAGAACTCTTTGATTCCCCCATTCGTGGGTAGTTTATCACCCTCTGAAAATGCAGTCGTAGACAATGTAACTGTCAAGCCTGTATGTGAACTCACAAATGTTTAAGATATCTAAGATGATTCTCCACATGGTATGTATCATCTTTTAAAATCTGTTTTGGGCTTAGTTCCTTACATGCCCCACATGAAACCCATCTCACAGTATGGAGCAAGGTCATCCAGATGAGATGGATGGAATGAGGCCTCTGAAAATAATCAACCATTAACACTAATTGAGAGACACTGGTCCTCAGGGTGTGTGTGTGTGTGTGTGTGTGTGTGTGTGAGTGTGTAGCTATTATGACCAACAATGAGGCCTTCGGGCCTTTTGTCACCTACAGAAATCACCCATCAGTTTTAGAAAAAGGTCCACAGATGAACCTCTGAAGCAGCTGGGTATTCCTGCTAAAGAGACTGCTTGGGTCCAGACAGATATGTCTTTCATCATGTCCACAGTCACACTGGAGAATGAAATGAACATCAAACTCCCCTAAACTCACACACTGAATGTGCAAATAAGAAGAATCCCAGCACCAGCTATCTAGCTCTGCTTCCATCACAAATGGAAGCCATAAATGGGTTCTGCAATAAGAGAGGCTGTGGGTTGTCACCAAGTGGCCCCATCCACAGATAAAGGAATGTGGGCTAGTGAAGGCTGTCCCCAGGCACAAAGGGCTTGCACATAAAGGCTGAGGCATGCTGGAATACCTGCTGACTATAGCCCTGTTCCTATTAACCTGAGCTCATAATACTATTGACCATCTCAATTCTCACAGGCTTCAAGCCCTCTGACATGGTCATTGTAAAATCTGCAGTATCTTTTGATACTGACTTTTCCTCTAAAATTCAGTTACTTTCACACCACATGACCATTGCTGTGGATGCCCTTCCAGAACACTGTGCTCTGCAGCTTCCCATGACAGCCACCTTGGTCCAAACTCCTTGCTTCCTACCCTTCCTTAGCATCCATTGTCAACCATGATCTTCTGCATGTCCCTCTGCCCAGGACAGCTGAGCTCCAGGGGTCCAGTCCCCAGATATGGCAACATTACTACTCCCCACCCTAAACAGGTACAACCACCTGTTTCTGGATTAACCCCGCACGGACCCTGAATATACACTCACTCCACTGCCCGCAAATAGAGGACAAGTTACAGCCCAAGCTGGGTCATCTTCCTTCCTCACCTCTCTGCAGGTACTGTCACTCCTGCCCTTGTCTAGACTAATCCTGCACATCCTGCCTCAAAGACAAGTCCCTTATGTTTACAGTCTGTCGAGGACCTGCCAATACAGTGAAGAGGTGTCAGAGTTCACCTACAATGAGAATCAATCTCTCAAAGAGAAGCAAAGCAGAGGGAGCATCAAAGGGTGAGGCTCAGTTCGAAAGCTCTTCAGAGCTAAAGGAAGATCAAACGATGGAGTTGACGCTGCTGGCAGAGGTGGCATGGGATGACTGGTGCAAAGAGATTTTGCCACAAAAACTGAATGCCAGCCTCCTTCTTTACTGTGAAATCCTCAATACAACAAAATGAGCTTCTTTTGGGGCCAAAAACAGTGGATCTCAAACCTTAAAGTGCCTCAGAATTTCACTGGGATCCACTCCCAGGGTTTCTGATTCAACAGGTCTGGGGTACAGACTGAGATCTCCATCTCTTGCAAGTTCCCATGTGACGCTGATGTTGTTGGTCCTGGGAACACGTTTTGAGAATATTGTATAGAGGCTTGACCTCTGAAGAAAGGGGACTTGGTCTCTAGAGAAAGGGGAGACTGTGGGTTAAGAGGAGGAAACTGCATAGAATTCTCCTGAGAAGAGGTCACGGTGCCCTGAAACACTGTTGGATGCAAAAGAGAAACCCATCTTCCATGGCACCTGCTTGTGGGAAAAGGACTGGAGGTGGGGTAATTTCCCCTCAAGCCATCTAGCCAAGGGAGACACCTGAAGACCCTGAGAACTCAGATACTGGTGCAAAGTGCTTGGCCATCTTCAGCTTCCAAAGCAGGAATAGTGGCTCAGCAGCTTTGCTCAGAAGGCATAGGACAAAGGGCTTTGCATTTTTCCCAGGCCCAGTGAAACGGCATTGAGTTCACATTAGTACCATTTGCCCTGGAGTCAAGGTCAGATGCTGCATTCTGTGTGGCTCCCCTGTGTATTTTCACAGCAATACGAAGCACTTCTTTAAGGCTGGTATTCCAGCAGGCTGCTCCTTTTCTTCCTCTAAGATAAGGGAGGGATGCCTTGTGGATGATCGTGGATACTAAAGCACACAGCTAGTTCCTTCCCAACAGTGACTCTTTAGTGTAACAAAATGAGCTTTCCTACAACCAGCCACAGCCTTGCCCCCAGCCTCCTGTGCCTTAATGGACACAAAGCCCAGCGGGAGAGGCGCAGTTACAAAGACAATGGAAGTTGATGCTCAGAGAAATATTAGTTACAGTGAAAGCAAGCCTGGCAATTTTCCCTGAAAGCAAGCAAGCCTGGCCATCTGAAGTATATGTGTAAGGGGCTGGTGGTTGGAATTATATAAAGTATACAGTGCAGGATGATATTGGGAGGTTCAATGAAGAAAAAGTTCCTTGATAAAAATGGAGGCACCAACCTCTCTTTCCTAGTGTCTTAGAATCTCAGATTGCTTTCTGTGCTTGATTATTTAAAAGATAACAGTTGGGGCCGGCACTGTGGTATACCTGGTAAAGCCGCTGCCTGCGGTGTTGGCATCCCATATGGATGCAAGTTCGAGTCCCAGCTGCTCCATTTCCAATCCAGCTCTCTGCTACGGCCTGAGAAAACAGTAGAAGATGGCCCAATTCCTTGGGCCCCTGTACCTGCCTGGGAAACTGGAAAGAAGCACCTGGCTCCTGGCTTCAAATCAGTGCAGCTCTGGCTGCTGCGGCCAACTGGGGAGAAAATCAGCAGAGAGAAGACCTCTATCTCTGCCTCTCCTTCTCTAACTCTGACTTTCAAATAAATAAATAAATAAATAAATAAACAAATAAAAGATAACTGCTGAATAGCCCATTTCAGGCAATTAGCTTTTAAAAAGGTTTACATATTTGAAAGGCAGAGTGACAGCATGAGAAAGAGTTAACAGCGTCAGCAAGAGTGAGAGCAAGATCTTCCATCTGCTGTCTCACTCCTCAAATGGCCAGGCTGAAGCTAGGAGCATGGAACTCCATCCAAGTCTCCAACATGGATGGCGGAGGACTCGAGTACTTGAGTCATCATTCTCTGACTTCCCAGGCGTGAAAGCAGGGAGCTGAATTGGAAGCAGAGTAGCTGGAATGCAAATGAATATTCCAATATGAGATGTCCACATTACAATCATTAAACCACTGGCCACAATGCTGGCCCAGTTCTATTTTTACCACACATCTTCAAAGTTCTGTAACGGATGCTCCTAATACAGAAATGAAAGCAAGTGGTTCCTGCCCTCGAGTGTCACTTGTCCATCACTCAGATATGGACTGTCCTGCAGTCCAGCTTTCATGGTTGAGAGGACAGTGCTACATCCAAGAGCACAGGATGAGATGTCACAAACACCAGGTGTAAACCCATAACTCTGCAGATCCCTTGGCTATGAACGATGTGATTGGTGTCACCAGATCACATTTACCCCTCCTTTGAAATAGGAGTAATAATTCCTCCCTACAGGCTGTTAAAGAATTGATGACAGAGGGGCGGAGCCAAGATGGCGGAATAGTGAGGGCGCGCACTGATAGTCCGGGAAAATTTAGTTTAATAAAAGGGGAGTTACGGTAGCCGCAGAAAAAAGAACCAGGAAAAATATGCACGGGAATCGTGAATCGGAGGACCTACTGGGAGAACAAGGTTGCCCACCACGCGGAAGCCAAGTCGCGGGACCGAGCCACAGAAGCCCCAGGGTCTGCACGCCAGTGCTCCAAGGGGAGTGCACGCCACACAGACAACAGCGGGGAGACTTGGGACGCTCAGGGCTCCGAGTCCACACATCGGCGCTGGAAGGGGAGGTGAGCTCAATAACCCGAGACATTGGTGGGGAAACGGGGGTCAGAATCTAGAGGGGGGCCGGAAAGTGCAGCAAACTCACTACTGGAAAGAAGGAAAAAAAAGCTTCGGGGTTTCTCTTCCCCCTAACCTTGCAAAGGTTACAAGGCTGCGAGGGTTGAAGAATTCCCAAGAGACAAAGAGCAGGCCTCCTCTTTGGATTTACATATCAATGGGGGAGAGCTAAGGAACTGAGTCACTACAATTCAGTAGCCTAGGCAACCCAGTGGAAGTCCAGAGGAGCCAAAGACTGGAAGCTAAATACCATCAATTCTGCACAGCCATGCCCTGCGGTGTTACTTACCCCCTGAATAAATAAAATAAATAAATAAATAAAAAGAGAGAGATTTACCACGCATAACCTGAGGGTGTCACCTTTGCACACCCTTAACCAGGAAGAACCAGGCAGAGCTCTCAGGCCGCACCCATCTCAAGCCTCCAAGGCTCCTCCAACAGCAGGCAGTCCACTTAACACGGACACAGTATAAAAAAAAAAAAGAAAAGAAAAGAAAAAAAAAAAAACGCACAGTGACGCAAGAAGAATTAACTATGCCGAGTAACAAACACAGAAATAGAGGGAGCAAGATCAATGATGACACTATGATGCCTCCAAATAAGCAAAACACCCCAAGCCAAGAGTATGAAGATGATGAGATAGAAGAAATGCAAGATACAGATTTCAAAAAATTTATGATAAGAACATTTAGAAGTTTTCAAAAGCAAATCCTTGAACTACAGAAATCCTTAATGGACAAGATTGAAAATCTCTCTCGTGAAAACGAAATTTTAAGGAAGAGTCAAAATGAAACTCAGAAACTAGTAGAACAGGAAAGTGTTATAGTGAAGAGAAATCAAAATGAAATGAAGAGCTCAATAGATCAAATGACAAACACATTAGAAAGCCTTAAAAACAGAATGGGTGAAGCAGAAGAGAGAATATCGGACTTAGAAGATAGAGCACAGGAAAACATACAGTCAAACCAAAGAAAAGAAGAGGAAATTAGAAACCTAAAAATATTGTTGGGAATCTACAGGATACTATTAAAAAAACCAACATTCGAGTTCTAGGAGTTCCTGAAGGCATGGAGAGAGAGAAAGGATTGGAAGGCCTTTTTAGTGAGATACTAGCAGAGAACTTTCCAGGTTTGGAGAAGGACAGAGATATCCTAGTACAGGAAGCTCATAGAACCCCCAATAAACATGACCAAAAGAGATCCTCACCACGACACGTGGTAATTAAACTTACCACAGTGAAACATAAAGAAAAGATCCTAAGATGTGCAAGAGAGAAACGTCAGATTACTCTCAGAGGATCTCCAATCAGACTCACAGCTGACTTCTCATCAGAAACCCTACAAGCTAGGAGGGAATGGCGAGACATAGCACAGGTGCTAAGAGAGAAAAATTGCCAGCCCAGAATATTATATCCTGCCAAGCTCTCATTTGTGAATGAAGGTGAAATAAAGACCTTTCATAGCAAACAGAAATTGAAAGACTTTGTGGCCACTCGTCAGGCCCTGCAAAAGATACTTAAAGATGTGCTACACTCAGAAACACAGAAACACGGCCATCAATATGAAAGAAGGGAAAGGAAGAACACCTACCAGTAAAAGAGCATGGGAAGCTCAAAGCATATACTAGAAAATATTTCCGGGAAAATGGCAGGGCAAAGTCACTACGTATCAATAGTCACATTGAACATTAATGGTCTGAATTCTTCAGTTAAAAGACACCGTTTGGCTGACTGGCTCACAGAACACAACCCAACTATTTGTTGCCTACAAGAAGCACATCTCTCTAACAAAGAGGCATGCAGACTGAAAGTGAAAGGTTGGAAAAAGATATTCCATGCCAACAGAAACCAAAAAAAAGCAGGTGTAGCCATATTAATATCAGACAAAATAAACTTTAATACAAAAACTGTTAAGAGAGACAAAGAGGGACACTATATAATGATTAAGGGTTCAATTCAACAGGAAGATGTAACTATTATAAATGTATATGCACCTAATTACAGGGCACCGGTCTATTTAAAAGATATGTTAAGGGACTTAAAGGGAGATTTAGATTCCAATACAATAGTACTGGGGGACTTCAATACTCCACTCTCAGAAATAGACAGATCATCCGGACAGAAGATCAACAAGGAAACAGCAGATTTAATTGACACTATTGCCCAAATGGATCTAACAGATATCTACAGAACTTTCAACCCTACATCTATAGACTTCACATTCTTCTCAGCAGCGCATGGAACCTTCTCTAGGATTGATCACATACTAGGCCATAAAGCAAGTCTCAGCAAATTTAAAAGAATTAGAATCATACCATGCAGCTTCTCAGACCACAGCGGGATGAAGCTGGAAATTAGCAACTCAGGAAACCCCAGAAAGTATGCAAACACATGGAGACTGAACAACATGCTCCTGAATGAACACTGGGTCATTCAAGAAATCAAAAGAGAAATCAAAAACTTTCTGGAAGTAAATGAAAACAACAACACAACATATCAAAACTTATGGGATACAGCAAAAGCAATATTGAGAGGCAAATTTATAGCAATAGGTGCCTATACCAAGAAATTGGAAAGGTACCAAATAAATGAGCTTTCAGCGCACCTCAAGGACCTAGAAAAACTGCAGCAAACCAAACCCAAATCTAGTAGGAGAAGAGAAATAATTAAAACCAGAGAAGAAATTAACAGGATTGAATCCAAAAAAACATTACAAAAAATCAGCCAAGCGAGAAGCTGGTTTTTTGAAAAAATAAACAAAATTGACACCCCATTGGCCCAACTAACTAAAAAAAGAAGAGAAAAGACCCAAATCAATAAAATCAGAGATGAAAAAGGAAACATAACAACAGACACCACAGAAATAAAAAGAATCATCAGAAATTACTACAAGGACCTGTATGCCAGCAAACAGGAAAACCTATCAGAAATGGATAGATTCCTGGACACATGCAATCTACCAAAATTGAACCATGAAGACATCGAAAACCTAAATAGACCCATAACTGAAACAGAAATTGAAACAGTAATAAAGGCCCTCCCAACAAAGAAAAGCCCAGGACCAGATGGATTCACTGCTGAATTCTACCAGACATTTAAAGAAGAACTAACTCCAATTCTTCTCAAACTATTCAGAACAATCGAAGAAGAGGGAATCCTCCCAAATTCTTTCTATGAAGCCAGCATCACCTTAATCCCTAAGCCAGAGAAAGATGCAGCACTGAAAGAAAATTACAGACCAATATCCCTGATGAACATAGATGCAAAAATCCTCAATAAAATTCTGGCCAATAGAATACAACAACACATCAGGAAATCATCCACCCAGACCAAGTGGGATTCATCCCTGGTATGCAGGGATGGTTCAACATTCGCAAATCAATGTGATTCACCACATTAACAGACTGCAGAAGAAAAACCATATGATTATCTCAATTGATGCAGAGAAAGCATTTGATAAAATTCAACACCCTTTCATGATGAAAACTCTAAGCAAATTGGGTATAGAAGGAACATTCCTCAATATAATCAAAGCAATTTATAAAAAACCCACAGCCAGCATCCTATTGAATGGGGAAAAGTTGGAAGCATTTCCACTGAAATCTGGCACCAGGCAGGGATGCCCACTCTCACCACTGCTATTTAACATAGTTCTGGAAGTTTTAGCCAGAGCCATCAGACAAGAAAAAGAAATCAAAGGAATACAAATCAAGAAGGAAGAAGTCAAACTATCCCTCTTTGCAGA